CCCCCCCAAGAGGCCAAATTCGGGCCAAAACCCTGGTGAAACCAATGATTGGCTTCCTCGCCGAGGCCGTTTTGGACGCCCTGACCGCTCGTGACTGGCCCCGTCCAGGTCCAGGGGAGGGGGTATGGGGGGAGGGGTAAATCCCGCCCGTAAGGGGAAGAAAGGGGGTGGAAGAGAAAACTGCCTAAACTACATACGCCCAGAAGGCTTGTGGAGTTACTGCCCATCGTCGGACGGTGCTAGAACGAGGATAAATCCGTTTCAGAGAGAACGTTCCGGAATGCTCTCAGAGCGTTCGGGAGCGCTGTGAGAAGGCCGCGGCGCCCGAGACATCTTACAGAGTCGCAGTAACGCAGAGTTTCTCGATCTGTCCTCGCCCGAGCCCCCCCCCCTTCCGGCCTGTCCCCAGGCAGGGTCCTGGAGGAGGAGTGGCCCGCGCTGTGTCGCGACGCGAGGACAAGCAACCGCTGGTGGCACGCGCTCAAGTGGTGAAAAAGCGACACCGTCGTGCGGGTGTTTCTTCGTTTCGTCATCGCGGTGCATTCCAGACCCCCATCCGGGACGAGGAGAAGGAGGGCGACGACGACAAAGAGCAGCGGGAGGAGAAGGACGTGGGCACGCAGTTCTTCAGGCGCTGTTCTTCCTCAACCTTTCGGCATGCTTTCCGACTCGCGCCAGAGAGGATGTTTTATCAATCTGCAGCACGTGCCCAATCAGGAGGATGAAGAGGATGATGAGGATGAGGAGATGGCGAAAAAGATGGCGATGGCAATCGTGATGGTGATGGTGAAGATGGTGGAGATGATGATTCTGACGATGATGCTGTTGATGCTGATGATGATGATAATGATGATGATGATGATGATGATGATGATGATGATGCTGATGATGATGGTGATGGTGATGATGATGATGATGATGATGATGATGATGATGATGATGATGACGATGACGATGACGATGACGATGACGACGACGATGCTGATTGCGACGATGTTGATGATGACGAGTATGTTGGTATTGTTGATGACGATGATGCTGCTGGCCATGATCATGATGATGCGGGTGCTGCTGCTGAGTTTGATGATTGTGATGATGTTAATGATTTTGATGATGATACTGTTGATGCCGATGATGATGATGATGATGATGATGATGCTCATGATGGTGATGATGCTGACGATGATGATGCTGGTGATGATGATGACGATGCTGGTGGTGATGATCATGTTGCTGGTGATGATGGTGATGATGATGATGATGACGATGACGATGACCATGTTGGTGGTGATGAGGATGACGGCAACGACGACGATGATGACGATGATGACGATGCTGATGATGCTGATGTTGCTGATGCGTATTATGGAGGTGAGTCTGATGATGACGATGATGATGATGATAATGATGATGATGATGATGATGATGATGATGATGATGATGATGATGATGATGATGATGATGATGGTGCTGGTGTTGGTGATGATGATGATGATGATGATGATGATGATGATGATGATGATGATGATGATGATGATGGTGGTGGTGGTGGTGGTGTTGATGTTGTTGATGATGATGATGATGATGATGATGATGATGATGATGATGATGATGATGATGATGACGACGATGAGGGTGGCAGGATGTGTAGGCGGAGAAAGATTCGAATGCGAGTCGGCAACAGAGGCGATGGGATGACGGATGGGAGGCATGGACCAGAGGGAGGACCGGGGGGGAGGGACGAGGACCGAAGGGCAGAGCCGGGCAGGTTGTGGAGGGCGCCTCGCATGCTCCGCCGCCTGCAGGGCCTCATCACATCACATGCTTGCAGGTGGCTCGCTGCGGAGCTCGTGCGCGGGCTCGCGAGTGCAGCGCATCTGCCCGCCCTGAGATCCGATGTTGCCAGCACGTTGCATCGTCTCGAGCAGTGACGACCAGAGCCCTGGACCCTACGTGGCTTGCTGCGACACCTGTCGAGCAGGATCGAGCTGTGACGGCCCCTGGGCCCGAGCAAGGGGCGACAGCGCCCGGCGTGAACAGCACGGTGACTCCCAGATCTCCGGGTGCGGCCGCAGCTCGGGCGGGGCTAGGCCAGGGGAACATCCTTCCGGAGCGTGCCCGGGACGCTTCCAGAGCGGACCGCGACCCTCTGAGAAGGCCGCGGCGCCCGCTCATTATTCGTCAGGTGATTTTGTTCAAAGCTTCCCCTGGTTCGGCGAGCTGCCCTATCCCAGAGGCCCATGAGGCCCCTGGTTTTGCGTCAGAGCGAGTGGTCCTGGAGGCTGTTGGACTCCTTCCCTCAGACTTGGAGAGAGCGCAGGCGCTCGGGGAGACGTCCCGTCGAGGGGGGCCGGATATCGATTCTGACCCCGATGCCGACGGGAGCGAGTTGTTTTAGTCGATGCGTTCACGCGATCCACAACAACCTCCAGAGCCGCCGAATCTCAGAGATCCCCGAGGCATCCCGATCCGACTCTGTCCCTGCCCTGGCTCCGTCTGC